ATAATAGAAGTTACAGATAACCTATCACAGCAGTATTGGGCTCCAGTGAAGTCACAGGGTATGACTACACCATGACCAGGCAAAAACAAAAAACAAAAAAACTTTGCACTGGCCCTTTCAGACCAGAATCAATTAGGAAATCTACGGTTAGCAGACAGAATGACTGCAGCTAATTCTTGGATCTTACTTTAGACATATGTGAAATATATTATGAACCTTGGAGAGCATCTCCTAAAAAGCAGTCATTTCTCATTATGATGAAGCACAACAGATATTTCCATCTGGGTAGAGTGAAATAATCTACTTACTTATTGGAAAAAAGAGGCAAGGAATAAATCACTGCAGCGGTGTTGTCATAGAGAGAATGGCAGCCTGGAGTTTGCAAGAGGATGTGGAGACGTGGAGACTCCCTGGGATACAAAGTGCTTTTACATTGAGCGGTGCCAGCAAAGGTCACTTCCTAGGCTGAATTAAGATGTATAATTTAACACGTGGCGCCTGCAGAGCCACTGAATCTGAGTCAAAGCAGAATGAGGAAATGGTGCTTGAAATAGTCCTGTGAATGCAGCATGGAACAGTAGTGCTGGTGTATTTAACACCACTCCACATTGCTTTCCTTGTTTTTTTTTTTTTTTTCCTCCTCCTAAGACTTGCAGTTCTTTTTCCCCTGGTTTCTCAGATGGAAAATGCGTGTGATGACTAAGCACTACACTCTGACATGCTAATGGCTAGTCACAGTGAAAAGTTCCTCCTGCCTTAAAGCCTTCTTTTCATGTGGTGGGTCAGAGGGTGTAGATTGAAGTGCTTTTGCTTAGGGCAAATGTGTTTCTTCTTCRAAGAATGTGTTTTCTCAAGACAAATGTGTTTCTTCTTTTTTGTTTGTTTTGTAGTTTCTTGATCATCTAGTAGATCTCACTAAATAATATTTTGAATTATTAAGCTAGAAATTTAAAGATTGTATTTCTCATTCCACAAAGGGCAGGAGATCTGCAGGGAGAAAGTGGATGTGATGTTCTTCCAGATCCAGACATAGGCAGAGTTGTCAGGGATAGAAGACTGATAGCTGACTCCTTTTCTTTCATAAAGAGAGGAATTTAGTTATTTTATGCTCCAGAGGCAGCTCTATAAATATTCTCTTATGGTAGTGGAGGTAGTGTGCACAACTATTTTGATAAAAATAAATTCTAATATGGAAAAGAGGGAATAAAAAATATGAAAAATGTCTATTTTACTTCTTTGCAATAATCTACCCTAAATTATTTGGACTTTGGATGTCCCAAATTGTAGCAAAACTCCTTCTAAAACTCATGCTAGGACCAGAAAATAGGGAAGAGTCCTTCTTTCATAAGTTGTCTCTAATATTTCATGTAGTAGCCAAATTCAGACAAATGCATTCAGAGGAGAAACTCATTCTTTTCAAGTCACTCTACCTTATAAATTAAAATAATTCATTCTGCTTCCTAATTTCTGCCTTATAATGCAGATGATGTCTTTTGCTTTATTTTATTTTATTTTATTTTATTTGTTAAATGACAAAGTCTAGAGTGAGAGGAATTAGGAGTACCTCCCTACTTTTTATATGACCATTGGAATCTCAAGTATATCTTAAAGAAGCATGAAGCACATCATGCACTTGGATTTGGACCTCTGGTACCTGGAAGAAGATTTCATCTTGGAAGTAGAGAACAACTTCTAAGATTATGTTTTTAAATTTCAGAATTCCAGAAATTGAGACCTTTTTAGTTTTTAATTCAAGAGGAATTACTTTTACTGCATCTCCTGCCCCAAATCACATGGCCAAAAGTTAAGATCTGCTATCCCCAAATCACTACTCTTATCTTCTATACCCTACGGTTTGATCCCTAGCTGAATCATTATTACCTGCAGATACAACACCATGCTTGTGACTTCAACTATTTTTATACTATTGCCCTGCAAAGAAAATGTAGTAAAAGAAGTTGTAGAAAGAAAATGAAATAGATCTCTAATAAGGGGAGAATAGAAGAGGTTCAATCTAATAATTTAAGCACATAATTGAGCATATAACTCTTGCTACTATCAAGGAAGAAAGACTTGCTTGATTGTGGATGTACTAAGTTACTATTTATTTAACACTGACTTTCAAGATGGGGATTCTGGTCTTAGCTGGATACAGACTCACTGAAAGATTTTGAAGCTTGAGTTTGGAGACCTAAAGAAGAGCATAGTAAGAAGATGGACTATTGAACTAAGTCCTCCTTAGCTCCAGACATGAGCACTACAAATCTGGAAAGAGCACACTGTGTTGAAATTTCTGGATGGATGAGGCAGTAGTGTGATGTGGTTTTGTTTATACTAATAGCTTCATGCCTTGCATTATGGATTTATTAGTATAAATCCATGTCATAGTTCACTAAACCTTGACTTGAATTTTCCCAACTGTGAATAACATATGGAGTACTAATCATGAAGTTTTCTCCATTTATATAACCAAGACTCACAAAGACCAGGAGAAAAAAGTGCTCAACCCTACAATAGAGCAGCACATGTCTATAATCTTCCTAAAGGGCATGGCCTTTATGTGAGAGCCTCTCCATCTTAATTTCTGAATCAGAATCTTCATTGGCCTCCACTTGGCAGTTTTTACTTCCAGATCCAGGACATTTTCCATGCCCCTTTTTTCTAACTTTCATCATTTAAGGGATAACTTTAGGGAGTAATACAGGCATGCTGAGTCTSTCCAATAAATGTCAAAAGTGGGAAGAAGTGAGACAGTGCTGAAGCAATTATATAACATCAAGTTAGCCAAATGAAAGAGCTCTTCTTCTCAAACTGCCTGGAAAAATCAATTCATTGGTAGAAGACAGAGGAACCACATCACCCATGAAGCAATGGAGTGAGGAAGACCTCACTATGAAGCTTGTTTCTTCTGAGCCATATCCTTTCAGACAAGTTTCTGATCTCTTTTTTTAAATTTATTTATTTATTTATTTATTTAGTTAGTTAGTTGTATTGGACTACATACTTTTATTTTATTTATTTTTATGTGGTGCTGAGGATCAAACCCAATGCCTCGAACATGCTAGGCAAATGCTCTACCGCTGAGCCACTATCTCTCTCCATCTCAATGTTCTCATATGTGAAATAGAGCCTTGCTGACTAAGTAACAAAATAAAAGTGGATGTGTGTTTATATCCTCAATACATAAGAATTCTGCCTCTTAGGAAACAGACTTTCAGAACAAAGTTCTAATCCAATTTGAAATTATGGCCCAAACTTTGTGCTGCTACTTAGAGCAGATTCTGAAAAAAAGTTTTCATTTCACTTCTCTCCCACATCACACACTTCTAATCCAGGGAATATGAGGAGGTAAGAAAAGATAGAGGAGGATTGTGCTTGAGAACAGAGGAAGCCATCCTGTTTTTCCACAGTTCAGAATTGAATAGTATTTCTTTTGCTTTCCTTCAGCTTTTCTGAGAATTCACAAACTGAACTCTTCATACTTCATGCTTTACATCAGGCACAGTAGATATTGACAGCTCCGCTTTAATAACTGATGGCTGTAAATCACATAATAAAAGAACACCTTTCAAGTGAGTTCTTGGATATATATGGAGAGTTATTAGGTATCTATTCATGTGTGCATCTTTAGGACTCTCTTACAGTGAGCATTTTAGAATGGTTTTAAGAATATGACTAGTTGAATAAGAATCATCTCATATACAATTGTTACAAAAGCTGGCTTCCCATCTCTTCTGGATATCTTCTCTTATCTTAAAAGAAATCCTAGGGGGATTTCTTTTAAGTGAGGAAGTTTTGATTATTGAGCAATATCTTATTTAAGAAATGAAGCATAGCAATATAAAACTCTAAGTCCCATGTCCAGGTGTTGGAATGCTGGTTATGGAAGCATTTATGAAAATGTTCAAGCCACATTCACTACTTAAGTGACATCTGATGAAATGATTAAAAATTAATATAGGCTGGGCACACTGGTGCACACCTATAATCCAAGCAACTTGGAAGGCTGAGGCAGGAGGATTGCAAGTTAAAGGGTAGCCTCAGCAACTTAGTGAGACCCTGTCTCAAGATAAAAAAAATAAATAAAAGGGCTGGGGATATAGCTGAGCAGTAAAGCGCACTGGTTTCAATTCCCAGTACCAAAAGAAATAAACAAAAAATGACAACAAAAACAAAACAAAACAAAACAAAACAAAAAACCATATCAGGGCCAGAGGTATTTTTCTCTGCCATTCTACTTGGTCTCAAGTAGGCAAGAAATAGGAAAAACAAAACACAACAACAACAACAACAACAAAAAGACCAAGAAAATTTGATCTAACCTCCTGAGTGATTTCTTTAATTTTAATCTTTTAAATTTAAATTTTCACCTCTAACTTCAAAATTTTGGTGTAAAATCTCTCCCTCTTATTRTGCTTTAAGTTAAAAGGTGCTTCTTGGAGGGTTACAAAGGCTTCTTTGCACAATATTCCAAGCACGAGTCATTAAAACAGTTGTTTTCTAAGCATCTCAAAGGCCTCTTTCCTCAGAGTTTCTGGGAGGTTTGATAGCTCTATTCTATAGAAGAGCATAAAATGCAGCCTGGAGAAGTTGAGAGACCTGCTACACAGTGAGTCCCCACATGGGGCAGGGGGACTTTTGACTTGGGGCTAAAATTGGAGCACTCTGCCATCTCTCAGTTGTGAAAAAGCTCCACTGGCCAAGGTAGGGAGCAGGGAGAGGCTGTAGTCAGGCTGTTGGCAGATGCCTTGAATTGGTTGAGGTCAGCCAGAGAGGAAGGGTAAGCGGTGGTTGTGCTTAGATTTATGCTGGCRTGTGATTTGTGCACTCTGTTAGACAAGCTGCTTTCTTCCCCTGTTCCTCTAACAGGCAGTCTCGTTGCTGGAGATGACTGTCAGCTGCCTTCTCTGCGTTGCCACCATCACATGCCTCACCACTGGAGCCTGGGAAGCCTGACCACAGACCAGCATCTCCAAGGCATGAATAATTAGGTAGGCATAATGGAAGGTACTTGCTGCACACTCCAATTGCGCAAGCCCATTACTGAACTGTGCTACATCAGCTTCTATCTTCCAAGAGGGGACATCAGAGGATTTTCATACAAGGGCACTGTAACTCTAGACAGAGCCAGTAAAGGTTTTCAAAACTGCTACCAAGTCAGGGAGGGGCCAGACATCATCAGCCTCAGCCAGCAGCCCAATGAACATCCCGGCGACATATTTTTCAAGCAGACTCCTACGAAAGACATCCTAACTGAGCTGTACAAACTGACAGCAGAGAGGGAGAGACTGCTGGCCAATCTGCTGAGCTCAGACCACATCCTGGGCATTTCCACGGGGAACCAGGAGGGGAAGCTGCTGGAGCTGTCGGTGAGCCTGGCCCAGGAGGACGACTGTTTCCCGAGTGCAGGAGACTGGTCGGGGGAGCAGCCCGTGGGCCCTCTCAGTAAGAGAAGCACCCATGGGAACAAACAACCCCTGAGGTTTGGTGGGTGGAGAGAGAGCCTTGAGGCACTCCCACAGAAGAGAACAAGAAGGAAAGGGCGTGGAGGCTGGGAACCAGCTCCCTGGATGGGGAAAGACCAGATCTGTTCCAGCAACTCCTTTCCTCTTTCTCCAGCCAGGCCTAATCTTCAGCTCCTAGAGGAAAGAGGAAACTTGGTCCCAAATAGGGCACTTACATCCTCCCTGCAGAGGAGAGAGCACTGCCCTGCAGATATCCCCAGGACACCGGACTCAGACCTTGGCATCGAGACCTCTGGGACAGCCTCAGAGGCCACTGGGCTTGGAAGAGGAGCACTGCCCCCTGACAGCAGCTCCACAGAGGCAGGGAATGGTGGCACTGGAGGCCCACTGAGCCGTCCTGGTGGGCTGGAGCGTCAGCCTGAAAATCTGGACGCTGAGAAACGTCCAGAGGCAGAGGTGGGAAGAATGGGGAAATCGGCTGGGCGAACTCGTAGGACGAAACCTGTTTCCAAAGTAGTGGCCAAAGTCCAGGATCTGTCCTCCCAAGTGCAAAGAGTAGTTAAAATGGATCCTGAGGCAGAGGAAAGCATTGGCATTTGCCCAGAGGCCCAGGCTGAGTTCATATCCAAAGTAGACTTGCTCAAGCTCCCAGGACCTGAGGCTGGGGCTCCTGGTTCCAGGTGGTGGGGTGAGGGGCAGCAAGGGGACAGGTCATCCCAGTCATTGGCCCGAGAAACAGCATCCATTTCTAGTTCCCTAGCCAGTGCTGAGGGGGCTGTGAACAAGGTCCTCCTGAAGGTGATAGAGAGTGAGAAGTTAGATGAAGCCACTGAGGGGAAAAGATTGGGCTTCCCCCTCAACACAAGGACCACCTCCACCCTCCCAGAAACCAGAAGCAAAAGGAGGGCTGGGCTATCTCAGAGGGGCCGCAGATCCTTGCTTCTGGATCCACAGCGTGTTGTAGGTCCTGACTCCTCCCAACCCAGAGACGTTGACAAGAGGCCATCCCCCCCAGCACCAGCCGCTCTTGGTATGGTATTTAATAATTCATCCCCTCAGTCCAGCGCATGCAAACGGACATCACCTGTTCCCTCGCCTTTACCTCCAAGGCGCACCAGCCCCCAGCAGCACCACAGGATCCTCCGGCTTCCCCCACTGCCTGGAGAGAGGGAAGCTGCTCTTAATGACTCTCCTGATAGAAAGAGCTGTGTCTTCTCTGAGTCCCCGTCTGCCGATACCTTGGAGTTACCCCCCTCTGCTAAGGTCACGGAGACCAAAGGAGCCAGMCCAACCTCCTTCAGAACAGGCCCATCTCCCTTGGTGCCTGGGGAACCTCTGGAAAAAAGCTGGGGGCCAGGCAAGACCACAGCTCAGGCCCAGCATCAGTCGCCTCCAGGTCAGTCCTGTTTAAGATATCTAGACCAATCTTTGAGCAACTCAAGAACTATCAGTCTACTTGTGTCATTCAGAGATTGACCAATTAACAACAGACCAGAATTCCTAGGCCTGTTAGTTTGTCTGGGTAGCAAGAGAACTGGGAGTTTGTACAGGGGTGTGTGGAGAGGGTGAAGGTGGTGTTGACTTAGGGATTAAAAGGTGTAGTTGTTTCCAGAAGCAATGCTGTGTACATGCTTTGTGCTTATTATTTATTTATTTGTTTGTTTGCTTATTTATTTATTTATTTATTTATGGCACACTCTAAAGTTGCCTCCATGGTTACTTAACACAGGGGCTCCAGGAAACAGGAGGCAGAGAGAAGGAGTAACTTGTCCCTGCCCTAGATGCTAACTCTGGGTAATTGGCCCCTTGACCTAATTCTGACACTCAATCTGCTACAGTCGTTTCTAAGGATTCACTAAGAAGAAGCACAAAAGCAGGCTGTGTTGTTGCTCATCTGTCTGTAGTTAGGGGGTTGCTTTTTGCTTGCTTGTATTTAATCACTGTTATAAGTGCCATCATGTATGACAAAAATAATTTTTTACCAGAAGGGAAGAATTCAGTCTAACTTGAAGAAACTTGGTTCCAATTTTTGTTGTTCTTGTTGTTTTTTGCTTAATTCTATAAACAAGCACAAAGTAACTGCTTATTCTAAAGTTATGTTTTATTTATGGGTTACTGCTATGACTAGGGTGATATCATTTCTCATGCAAAGGGTACTAAAGAGCTCTTTTGACTTATGTGCTTAATGTGATTTAAAATGTTACATGAAAGCAATTTKGGGAGTTTAGTAAGAGGTGCCACTCCTCTACTCATTACATTTTCTAAGCTAACGTGGCTGATGCTCAGGTTCTCTGTGCCATTGTGTGGGTAATATGTTCTTTTCCAGCATCCTCTAACAGCATATGGTGAATGTCTTTGTATAAGGAATAGCTTGCAATATGATATATGATCTTTTAAAGGTTAGAGAAAATTCTCCTGCAATTTTTTAGATACAATATCTATCTAGGAAAGAGGAGTTTCAAAAGCTTTCTATTTATTTTGAACTGGTTATATATCATAAATCTCCAAATCACTGATGGGGGGAGGGTGTTTCTTTAAAAATGTGATAAATACTTTTTCTCCTGTTTTTATAATATATTGACCTTAGTTTGGTAATACTTGCTAATTTCATAATACAACCAGTCTGCATAGAACTGTAAATTTTATATCATATATCATAGAATCTAAGTGACAAAATTATTTCTTCCTGTGAATGTTGAAGACTTGGAAATACTTGGCAGGGAAACACACTGTAGAGGTGAATGGGAGACTCCTGGAGTCATGGTGTAGAACAGCTGCCATAACCCCAAAGGGTCTTTTTTAGAAATCACATTGAATTCTAGGATCGTGTGTGCTTTTCATCCAGAAACTGCATTAAATACATTGATGTTCAGTAAACCTTTTTATTCCCCTTTGATTTAGGATTATTATTTCATTACCCTTTTTAATATAGAAGTACTATATAAGCTCCATTGTGTCCGGGTTAAAGTCCATCATATGGAGGCACACAGAGGACATTCAGGTTCTGTTGGTGACCAGTGGTGAACCCCCTGAGGGACAAGTTGAGTGGAGAGTCACACCTTCCTGAGGTCTCTCCATGTAGTTATTCATGGCAGGCCCCTTTGCTTTGGCCCCAGCCTTCCTTTGGGATCTTCAGTAGCAATTTTATCAGTCATAAGAATCATGGGGTTTCCTTGCCAGGGAGACTTCCTGTGCTCCTAACCTTAAGAAAAGAGAATTTGAAAAGGGAAAGAAGAATAAGAGTGAAACACACCTTTACTTATTTATTTACTTACTTATTTTTGTGGTGCTGGGGATTGAACCCAGGGTCTTTTACATATGAGGCAAGCACTCCACCAACTATATCCCCAGCCCTCTACTTTGGTTTTTTTTTTTTTTTCCCCCCAGTGAAAATAGCTTCTTTTTATGTGAATATCTTCCCCTGGGACACCCAGACAGATGCTTTCTCTTATTGGCCCATCTTTGAAAGACATGGAGGAGGGAGAGTTTGAGATAGTATCTTTGATCTTTAGCATGCATTCTTGTCCCCTTTCCTCTTTTTTACCTTCCCTTTCTTGTGTCTAGGAACCCTCTTCTATTCTAGATCCTGCTGTCACTTCCTACAGCTGGTGAGTTCAGGCAGGGAGAATCTCCTGCTTCTAGCTGCTTTTGTCTTTCACTCCATTTCTCCTCCTGCTCAGTCCCAGGGGAGGCCTCAGACAGTAGCCTGCAGCCCAGAAGGGAGTGTAGCTCATTTACGGATCACTATGCAAGGGCCCTTTGTCTGGAGCCAACTCCTGCCTTTCTCCCATGTTAGCTATTAACCAGATTGAGTTTATGGTCTGTGGACATTTATTTCCTGTGGAAATAACATCTAGGCATTTTATACAAGTGATGCCAGTGAGATTATCGAAAGCTCTCATTAACTGCTCAAGTAAGAGATTAAGTCTGGCAAAAGTAATCAGATCTGTTTCCAGTTGGAAGACTCTAGTGTTACAGGCAAGGAGTAGTTCCTACCCAAGAGGGCAATGTACTTCTCCCAAGACCAAGCAGTAAAGGCAACGTCATTGCTTCCTGTTCAGGAAATAGCATAAATGTGTCCCAAAGAAGCTACCTTCTATTTATTGGTTTTGTAATTTTTCTAACTCTTCTTTCTATGAGCTACACACAGAAATTTCTTATCTGGTAGTAATGTGAGAATATGGTGATAACTGAGAATAACTATAAATGGTGATCAGATTCATCTTCTCATGGCTACACCACTTCTTCCATACTTGGAATTGGTTTTATAGTATTTTGATTTGGTGATGGAGACAAAGGTAAAATGTTCCAAAGCTTTTGTGAAACATGAAGTTTCCTCAAACCTTGAGGGATTTTAATAGTGATGACCTGCCCTGCCTAGCAGTGTCCTTGGGGATTGGTGCTAGGATTTCTTTTTTGGTTGCTGCTTTTATTTATCTTTGACCTGAAATAAAATCTTTTAATGCCTGGTGTGGTGGCACACGCCTGTAATCTCAGCAGCTCGGGAGGCTGAGGCAGGAGGATCGTGAGTTCAAAGTCAGCCTCAGCAATGGCGAGGCACTTAGCAACTCAGTGAGACCCTGTCTCTAAATAAAATACAAAATAGGGCTGGGGATGTGGCTCAGTGGTCAAGTCCCCTCAGTTCAATCCCCAGTACCAAAAAAAAAAAAAAAAAAAATCTTTTAATGCCACGAAAATCACATGAAAGTTGGCTCACTGTACTTGGGAGATGCCCTGTGCTCTTTAACTGTCTTGTGATCTTTTTCCTTTGATTGAAGTCACTGAGGTGGTGAGGCAAGCACATGCCCCAGGCATAGTTCTTCTTGATATTGAGGATCATTTGACTAATTCTCATGCTTATCAAAAGATGCCAATTGATGCCAACTAATTAAGGGTTGAGAGACATGAATGTGATATTTTATTGTATCTAATGCTTCTGTCAAATCTTTGATTTCTCTCTGGACACACATGGGAAGTAAATATAAATACTTCTTTTGGAATTCTTCCCATGTAAACTTTGAGGCTTGCTGCAATTCTGATAAAAAATAAAGAAACTTCACAATGTTAATAGGTATATGCAGCCACTTAAATTAATTCAAATAGTAGGTGGTAAATAGTAAATGGTAATTATTAAGAGGGAAATAAGACTCAAAATTAATATATCATATTCAGTCTATAAAATGAATTTAAGAATTAAATTGATAGGACATGTAAAGGGGTTATAACTGAAACTACATGTTACAATGACACGGTGATCCTACTTTCAGGAGTTTAGCTGAGTTGCTATACTAGTAAGAATATATGGTGGGGGGTGGGGTTGTGGCTCAGCGGTAGAGCACTCACTTAGCATGTGCAAGGCACTGATTTTGGTCCTCAGCACCACATAAAAATAAATAAAATAAAGGTATTGTGTCCAACTACAACAACAACAACAACAAAATTCATGGGTTAGGGTGTTTATTGTAGCATTGTTTGTATTGTCAAAAACAGCTGGAAAAAATGAATGTGCACCAGTAGAGAAATGGTTAAATAAGTTCTAGTACATTTATGGTTTGTAATATGATGACACTATTACATCATATGGAGTATTGATCTAGATTTATGTCTATTAAGTTGCAAAATAATTTTTAGCATTTTTAAATTTTAGTGAAACAAGTATCAATTCTTTCCACAATGAACACAGATGTTTAGTATGCATTTGAATATCATGGATATGGGTGTGGAGAGAGACTGACCAGGTAGAGCACCTTATCAGACAGTCAGGCAGGTGGAAGTGGGGAATAAGGTGAATGGGAAGGGGCACAAGCATTGGGGGAGAATGTGGGCTTTTTTACCTTACATGTTTTTACATTGTTTCTCTGGATGTGATGAATATGTTACTTTTACAATATTTGAAGAGTGATTTTAACCATTTCAACATTGAGAATACAGCCTTGTCACAAGGGGAAATGTAGGTGACTAGAGAGCTTTAAAGTAATACCCCAAAGAAAGCTGATTGGTAGCAGGGTTAGATGAGGATAGAGAAAAATCCAGAAGCCAACAAAAGGTGGCAATTCAAGATGGTTCCTGGATTCTACAGACACACCCAGGCCCGAAGGAGCAAGGGAAGATATGGTTACTAGAACCCAGGGAGCCAGGGTTAGGAGAGGACCATCTAGCAGCAGCAGTGGTTTGTGGTAGAGCCACCCAGCAGAGAGGAAGCTATGAGATAAATATAGTGACCTTGCTGTCCTCTGATCTTCTGCTCTTGTCTCCTCTAACAGAACCTACCACAAGACTAAGTTGAAAGGAAAGTGAGGAACTAGGAGACGAGAARTGAAAGACGAGTGAGAAATGAAAGACGGAGACCAGGCAGAGATACATACTAGAGAGTTTATTTGTCAAAGCTGACAAAGG